ATCCAATAACTATTAAATAAATGTAATTCTTAGTAAAATCCTTTTGAAATACATGTCTAGGCCCTGATAATTTCAATGCCAACTTCTACCAAACATCTAAAGAATAACATTAAGTCTAGACAATCTCTTTAAGAAAGTAGAAAAAGATGGAATACTTCCCAACTCATTATATGAAACCAGTATCACCTAATTACAAAACCAGATAAATACAAAAACACTACAGTTCAATATACCTTATGAACATAGACATAAAAATCCTTGATAAATTAAGTCAAGTTGAATTCATCAGTATATAAAAACAGTAACACAACAACAACACAACCAAGTAAGATTTGTATCAGAAATGGAAGGCTGGCTTCAATAATCAAAAATCAGTCAACGTGACCCACCATATTAACATTCTAAAGGAAAAAAAAATCTTTTCAATTTACGTGAAAAAACCATCTGACAAAATTTAACAAATGTTCACAATAAAAACTCTCAGCAAATGAAAAGGGATTTTCCCCCATTTAATAAGGGGTATTCTAGGGGCACCTGGGTGGCTCAGTCGTTAAGCGTCTGCCTTCGGCTCACGTCATGATCCCAGGTTCCTGGGATCGAGCCCCGCATCGGGCTCCCTGCTCCGTGGGAAACGTGCTTCTCCCTCTCCCACTCCCCCTGCTTGTGTTCCCTCTCTCGCTTATTTGACAGAGAGAGACACAGCAAGAGAGGGAACACAAGCAGGGGGAGTGGGAGAGGGAGAAGCAGGCTTCCCACTGAGCAGAGAGCCCGATGCGGGCCTCGATCCCAGGACCCTGGGATCATGACCTGAGCCGAAGGCAGACGCTTAATGACTGAGCCACCCAGGCGCCCCATAAATAAAATCTTAAAAAAAAAAAAAAAAAAGAAGGGGTATTCTACAACACAAAAACCTATAGTTAACATCATACTTAATGGTGTAAGACTGAGTATGTTTCTCCCACAACTGGAATCAGGGCAAGGATCTTCCTCTTCTCACTTTTCTTTTTCAACATTGTACTGAGGTCCTTGCCAGTGTAATAAGGGAAAGAAATAAAAAACACACTGATAAAACATTAAGGGGAGGGGAGAGACACTCGACAATAAGAGGGTAAAAGATTCCTTAATAATACAAAAGGAAAATTTTTGACTATGGTAAAAAGAATTATTCCAGTCCAGCCTAGAGCCTCTATATGTCTCATACTTTTCATTCCAGAGCATTTGCTTTGTATGTTAGGATACTCATTATTATAGTTGTAATCTTTGAGCAATGAACACTATTAATAAACTAAGTGATTAAAGCAGCACAAAGTAGGGCGCCTGGGTGGCTCAGTCGTTAAGCATCTGCCTTCGGCTCAGGTCATGATCCCAGGGTCTTGGGATTGAGTCCCACATCGGGCTCCCTCCTGGGGGGGAAGCCTGCTTCTCCCTCTCCCGCTCCCGCTGCTTGTGTTCCTGCTCTCGCTATTCTGTCTCTGTCAAATAAATAAATAAAATCTTTAAAAAAAATAATAAAATAAAATAAAAAACAGCACAAAGTAACTAGAAAAAGTAAAATAGGTGTGTACGTGTGTGTGTATGTAATGTGTGTGTGTGTGTGTGTATATATCACCAAATGTAAAAACAAGCCTTATAATAATAAAGATGGAAAAAAAAACCCCAAAATTTAAAAATTCTATATAGAACATATTTTTGTATGCAGAAGCAAATTTGATTAATACTTTTTTTTTAAGATTTTATTTATTGATTTGTGAGAGAGAGATCAAGAGAGAGAAAGCACGAGAGGGGGGAGGGTCAGAGGGAGAAGCAGACTCCCCACTGAGCAGGGAGCCTGACGAGGGGCTCAATCCTGAGACTCCGGGATCACGACCTGAGCCGAAGGCAGACGCTCAACCGACTGAGCCACCCAGGCACCTGATTAATACTTTCATATAAAGTATGCAAAGAGCTTAATTTCTCCAAATCTAAAGGATAAACATATGCAGGTTGAAAGTAAAAATTACATGTATCACTAAGACATTTTTACAGTCAGAATTAGAGAATCAAATGCAATTACCAGCGTTTAGAAAGTCAAACACTTTTCAATTTGAATTCTTATCTCAGAGAAAACACATGTTACTTTTAGGGAACACCACAAATGTCACATTTTATTTTTTAAAATACTTTTGAAATTTCAAGAAGTGTCAATTTACTCTGGCTAAATTTTTAAGTTATTTGTAATTTTAAATTTTATTTCATCATAATATAAACTGTCTCAAGATGTTTGGTCATTTCAAACACTGACTGCTACAGAAGAAATAATTTGCAGTATTTCCTTACTTTTAAATACCTTACATTGAACATAGTAACCTAAGGCTTCTCTGCCTGTAATAATTTAAGAAATGTTCATGTTTAAAAAAACAAAATTGGGGGGCGCCTGGGTGGCTCAGTTGGTTAAGCGACTGCCTTCGGCTCAGGTCATGATCCTGGAGTCCCTGGATCGAGCCCCACATCGGTCTCCCTGCTCCGCAGGGAGCGTACTTCCTCTCCCACTCCCCCTGCTTATGTTCCCTCTCTCGCTGTGTCTCTCCCTGTCAAATAAATAAATAAAATCTTTAAAAGAATAAATAAATAAAATAAAATAAATTAAAAAAACAAAATTAAATCTCAAAATCTTAAGTGCCTCCCCCAAAACATTTTGGAATACAGTGGGATTGGGTGGGGAGATAAACATACGAATTTGTATAGTTCGGCCTAACAACTCCCAAATACCTTTTATTTAATCTTGTTCACATTTATCTAATTATAGAATCATTTTAAGGCATTCTGAATAATCATATCATTTATAGGTATTAAAGCACAACAAACTTTGGATTATGTAATTAAATTATTATAATTATGCTCTTAGGACATCTAAGAGGTTTCTTATGAAACCTCTTTCTTATTAGTTTCTTCAACACCAGTGAATGACAAGTAGTATGTTCCAAGACCATTACAACATTTTTAGACAAATTCAGCTTTATGAGACAGCTTATAAAAATATCAGAGAACACAATTTTTAGAGAAATTTCCTGAATAGGTTACATCACAAATAGGAGAAAGCCTAATTTGCCCCTCTACCAAAGAACTTTTTAAATAAGCCAATGATTTAACATCATGAGCATCTGAAATAAATTACTTCTTTACACGGTAAGTTCCAGCCTCGTCACCAGTCTCCTTCCCTATTGTATCCATGACTATTCTAACATGACTTTCCTCTAAGGGTCTTCAGCTTTAAATGGATAGACTCTGACATCAATAGTTCTTTATAGAGATGCCTACTCCATAAGCCTTCCTTTTTCTGAGGACATACTCAAAAGCATTTTTAGATATTATTTTTATATTTTCTTGTCAAAATGAAAATAGTTTTCTTATATTTCAAAGATAAAAATCACATTAGCATTCTTGGGAATAAACTTTATTACTAGGGCTTTAAAATGCATACAAGATAATTGTAGTAGTACCTATAGGTAAATACAAGGATTGTGGGGAAAAAAAATTCTACTTCCTGCCTAGAGTACCTCTTAAGCTCCCTGTGCTGGCTACAATTTAGATAAAGTAGGACAACATGTGAATCTTTTTTTCTTTTGAGAGGTGATGAGAGAGGCAGGATGAAGCTGACAATGCAACTACTGAAACTCAAAGGGAAATTCTCTTAAGGCTAAATCTAACTGATGAGTACCTTCCCTAATAAGACTTCTGGACTTCCAAACAGATTCAGCCACTGGGGTGAGGGTGGGGGGTACCTGAAATAAGGGAAATTACTGTCAAGTTTGAATATTAATATTAAATTGAAAAACAAAAATGCAAAAGCATTTAGTATAAATCAACTATAAACAGTTATCACTTACTACTAGAAAAATTAAGAATTTAAGTGTATTTCACAAACTTCACAGAACAAAAACTTATACCACACTATTAATCTATTAGTTTCAATATTAAGGTTTATTTTTTTTTCCAGAGATTAAGTAACAATTTAAATAATTATCTGTATGTATAAATGAACATCCATTCAGATAAAACATTACTGCTTAAAAGAGGCTACCTAAGAAATATTTTGTATGTAATAAATATATTTTATGTTTAGGTTAACAGGCACCATCTTGAGAGCAGAAAAGGTATTTTTAACCAATAAATAAATTACATTCAAGAAAACAAGATGTCTATATCTGAAGTATGATATATCCTTAAATGTTTTTCTTCATATAGCACCCAAACTTCCCAAATGTCTAGAAAGTATCTCCCAAAATATAACTCATACCTTAAGTCATAAAAATAAAGGCCAAGAAAAAATCAATTTAAGACAAAATGTACAGTTTATATTCTTAATTCCCCATTCAATAAAATATCAATTGCCAATTTATTAAAAGTAAATGAACTGTATATATGCAATCTGTTAATGCTGAAAATCTGAAATATAATATTTTTAAAAGTCACTCTTTCTCAAAGTACTTAAAATATTGCATCTCTGGTGGCAAACCTGAAAACTATCAAGCATTTTATTTCCCTAGTTTTCATTCTTCCACTCCCATCTCTATTCCTTTATCCTTTAACAGCCATCCATTGTTTTTTGTTTATTTTTTTGTTTTTGGTAAATATACTTACATCCCAAACACAAAACACTGACAATACTCCTTGGTAAACAAGGAAATCCCAGAACAGTCCAAGCCTACAGCTTTGCTCCCAAAGTGTGGCACAGGCTAAATGACAGGGAAAAAAAAACAATCAGTGGCCCTTATTGATGCAGTCAGAATGCTCCTGAGAGTCCACAACTGTTTGAGAATTTGCTGATGTAATCCTGAAGACAGTATCAACATATTTTGCAGACAAATATCAGAGAATAAGTCTTTGATTGATAATTTTTCTATTTATTTCTGCCAAGGCGACTGAAAACACGAAAGCCTTTTCATCAGAGAGGTTAGCATAGATGTCAATTTCCTTTTCCTGTTTCTCTGTTAAAAGAAAAAGAGAAAGCTTAATGTAAACGTGGTAATCAAAAAATACTTTTGAGGCTTTCAAGTATCTCTTTAGATGACAATAAATATACATAATACTAACAACATATATTACATGTTATACAGTATCATGCTACTAAACTGGAAATTTTTAAAAATGACACAAAGGAGTTATTGAAATGCCATGAACTAAATGGAAACTGTGTATATATATATATATATATATATACACACACACACACACACACACTGTCTATAATATCTATATCATTTCTGTAAAAATCTCAAGTATTTCTTTCTCTTCACTAGGATGAGCTTACTATCCAATCAAAATGAATTTTCTCACCCGAAAGATGGTCCCTTCTGAACACCAATAGTGCCTTTATGAATATATTAACTTCTTTACCTTAGCCCTGCTATAGAAAATAAGAATAACCAACATTTAATTCTATTTTTCCCTCTCCTAATTACAAATGCAATCCAAGTTCATGGTAGAAAATTGAAAAGTACAGGGTGCCTGAGTGGCTCAGTTGGTTAAGCGACTGCCTTCGGCTCAGGTCATGATCCTGGAGTCCCTGGATCGAGTCCCGCATCGGGCTCTCTGCTCAGCAGGGAGTCTGCTTCTCCCTCTGACCCTCCCCCCTCTCATGTGCTCTCTCTCTCTATCTCATTCTCTCTCAAATAAATAAATAAAATCTTTAAAAAAAAAAAATTGAAAAGTACAGAAAAACAAAAAAAGAAAATAAAACCCATCTATATTATCCCAGAGCCAGCTAAAATCACAATAAACATCTTTGTGTATTCTGCCAACTTCTTTTTTCAGACTCTTCTACGATCATACTTTTGTCTTTTTTTGTTTTGACTTTTTAATCAAAGTTAAATATATAGAGTCAAATCATTTTTATTCAACCTGTTACAAAATATGGAAGTCCTCCTTCTCTCATGCCTGTTTCCCATACTCCAAGTGCAACTACTTTTTTTCAGTTGTTTCTTTTCATTTTTTACCTCTCTAAGCAACATTTTTATGTCCACTTCTTGATTTTAGGCATTATTAATTAATCTTCCACCATGAAAAGTTAGTATTTTATTGTTTTCCGTATCTTAAGCCCCATACTCTTCCTATCCCATCTTCCCATTACAATTACATCACAATTTAGGGGAGATCAATATTCAATGTTTACATTATTCTTCTGACTATGTAAATGATTTCACTTTTCCTTCACATTGTTTTTTTCCTGAGATTCTTTCTCCATCAGCTTAGTTTTCATTACTAATGAGTTGTACAAATCTTTTAGAATGTTTACACATACTAGATATTATATCAATTTTATTTTCTTGAATAAGTCTCTCCAAGTCTTCTGCTCAGTCTGAAATGGTTGATTTCTAGACCTGATACACAATTATCATCAAGATCTCTCTTCAACATCATGCTGGATATAAACATCTTTCTCTTGAGTTGGACCCTGTGTCCTGGATCCCAGGACACTTTCTTGGTTTACTTCTTCCTTTTGATGCCAGGTATCTTGTAGTAGCTTCCTGAGAAAGGGAGTACAGGTAGCAAATTTTTTGAGACCCTGAATGTTAGAAAGTATCATTAGTCTACCTTCATGCTAATTCACAGTGTGGTTGACTAAAGACTCCTAGATTTCCTGAGTAGTACGAAGGCAAAAAATTGGCTTCCAACTAATGGTGCCACTGTTTTAAAAAGAGCCAATACCTTTTTTTTACAGCTATTTAAAACGTTATTGTTAAATTTACATACAGTGAAATACACAGATCTTAAAGTACAATTGGATGAGTTCTGACAAAATATACATCTACATAACCCACACCACAATCAAGATACAGGAAATTCCTCATGCTCCTTTCCAGTCAATTCCTCCCCACCTCATCAGCAACTACTGTTCTGATTATATCACCACAGATTCATTTGCCTGTTCTTAGACTTCATATAAATGGTATCATCTAGCATGAACTGTTTTGTGTCTAGCTTCTTTCATTCAACATGTTTTTAAAATTCATTGATGCTGTCTGTTCATATATGAGTAGTTTGTTCCTTGCTGGGTACTAGTCCACTGTATTAATTCCAAATACCACTTTCTTTTCTTGCTCTTTTTTCCCTGAGCACTTGAAGGAGTTTCCCTTTAACCAAAGAGATAGGATTTATGATGATAGGCTTTGGCATAATCTCTACTTTTAACCATCCACTGGTCTGGGAATTTGGTGGACCATTTCAATGTGGAAACTCAATGTCCTTCAGGTTTGGAAAAATTTCTTGAATTATTTCATCGATGACTTCCTTCTCCTCCATCTTCTATGTTCCTTTTTGGAACATCAGTTATTTATAGATGTTGACTTCAAACTGGTCCTCTAAATTTCTTATCTTTCCCATTCTATTTTTTTTTTTTCTGTCTTTCTTTCTCTCTCTCTCTCTCTCTTTCCTAGAGAGAGGGAGAAAGAGAATCCTAAGCAGGCTTCCCACGCTCAGCACAGAGCCTGACATGGGGCTCAATCTCACCACCCTGAGATCGTGACCTGAGCCGAAATCAAGAGTCGGATGCTTAATCGACTGAGCCATCAGGTGCCCCTTTCATCTCTTTTTCTATTTCTCTGCATTCTGGTACAATTCTTTAATTCTGTCAATAAACCTGTTAAAAGTTTTTCATTTCTGCAATCTTTATATACACACGTATTTTTTTAGATTTGTATTTTTAAAGTTCATTTTCTAGGTACTTTTTTGTACCTGCTTTTCCATTTAAATATCATCTTGTTCTTGTTTCATGACTACAATATCTTCTCTTGCTAAAAACATTAACAATAGTTTTAAGTTTTTCTCTTTCCTGCAAAATCCTGTTTTATCCAAGTTATTGTTTTTTCCCTGTTGTTTGGTCTTAGCCTTTCATATAGATGCTTTCTTCTGTATATCTGAGTAATTCTTGATAATATGCTCATATTTAAGAATGGGGTCCAAAAAGATGATGAGCTCATACCTATCTGTGGAGCTTGACTGTGATCACCAATTTAGGATGATCTGACTGGGCCATTTGTGAAATCCCTAATGAAAGTTCCTTATATTAGGCCCTTTCTCTTGGGTTTTTCAGATTTCCTAGAGAAGATACTGCTAATTCTCCTACCTCGAAGATCCAAGCCTGACCACAGAACTCAGTATTTACTATCTCCAATTTTCACGTAATCTTCCTGATCTCAATATAGTATCCCTGCCCTCAGTGACACCTGGTGTTCCATTAAATCACAGAGACTGTTTTCTCTTTTTGAAAGGATAAATTTGGAAGGAGGGGAAAATGAGGTAAACAGCCCTAGCAGGCCATTAAGAAACAGACTTCCAAACAATCTCATTTTTAGCCTCACCTTCACCTCTACACTTCCAGACATAACTGATGCACAAATTCCTGACCTTAAGGCAGCTGTGTAATAAAAATCATTTTTTTTTATTAGTTTTTCCCAAAGGGGCTGACAGTTTAGATTTCATGGGTCTACTAAAGCAGTTATCACTTTCTAGAATTCTGTTGCTTTTCCCATTCCTTGTCCTTGTGAAATTTGGTCCTTTTAAAAAAAAATCCCTTTACTATAATATTACTAAGATTTAAGGATGATGGAGAGCATGGTGTGGTTATTCAATCTACCAACTTGAACTTGAACTCTACATAAATCTTGTATGTTCATTAATAAGATATTCAGGGGCGCCTGGGTGGCTCAGATGGTTAAGCGTCTGCCTTCGGCTCAGGTCATGATCTCAGGGTCCTGGGATCGAGTCCCGCATCGGGCTCCCTGCTCCTTGGGAGCCTGCTTCTCCCTCTGCCTTTCTCTCTCACTCTGTCTCTCATGAATAAAAAAAAAATAATAATAATAAGATATTCAGAATTGCCCATTATATTTTAATCTAAATGTCACTCCTACCTTACTAATATTCAAAATAATCATACTCCCCTCATATAAAATGAAAACTTATCTTAAACCAACCAAAATTTTTAAGTTTAATGGTTTGTTTTTATGATTGTATAAAAATATTTTGCTATCTAGATGTCTAACAAGCTTTCCTTTTCCATTCTTTCTTCTTCCTATTCTTTTTCAAAATATAGAAAACAAAGTCAATTAAAGATGTGTTTTTTATACATAAACTGTCCTTACAAAAGGTAAAGCTTGCTTCAAAGTTTTCAAGTACCCTATGAGCAAGAAATCAATAAAAACTGAATTACAGTAAATAGCTAGTTAATACTAAGAAGCATATGAAAGAAGTCTATTCTAAAATACATAGAGATTTCAAAAGTTCATATTTCTTATCCATATTATATTTCGGGAACATGGTCTGCCTCAAGGGTTGGTAAAATACAGCCCAAGGTCAAATCTGGCCTGCCACCTGTTTTTATAAAGTCTTACTGGAACACAGCCAGGCCCATTTATTTACATATTGTCTATGGCTGCTCTCCAGCTACAACGACAGGGCTGAGTAGCAGCAATAGAAGGCTGTATGGCCCACAAAGCCTAAAATATTTATTATCTGGTTCTTTACAGAAAAAGTTTGCTGACCTCTTCCCCACCCCGCCCCCATGGCCTACATGAAAAGATTCCAGTTTATTCTACAAAAATTGCTATGAGCACCTTCCTGTTTGTATTAAAAATAAATCAAAAGCATATCTTACTCTAGAAATAGCTTAAAACTTTTCTATTAATAAGCTCAAAATATCAGGGAAAAAAATGATAGCTAAATTCTTTTCTCAAGTTAACATGAATAAAAGTTCAGACCTGCACATACAGATTCCTAGAACGACTATCTAGATTTCATTTCCCCAACTAAAAGACTGTCATTATCTGTTTGCTCATCTCCTCTCACTCACCACCAGAAGCATTCCTTCTCCATTCTTTGGGTTATACTCCCTTTACTTCAACTGAAAAGAATGTCCTGTTTTCTGGGCCAAGCAGTATTTCTCTGGATTTTTTGGTTTTTTTTCCTGCCTAGTTTCCCTGCTGAAGCAGTTTTTAGCATAGATTTTTCTGATCATCCCATGTTAAAAAACACATTCAAATTTAGAAAATAACTCAAACTCTCTGGAAGAGCAGCGTAAGAGAAGGAAAAAGAAAATGGAGTACTATTACCCAAGGAATTAAGGAATATCTAAGTATTCTTCAAAGAATACAGTCAAATATGATATAAGCCTTATTCCTTTAGCCATACAATACTAAGACACCATTAACTCTGAAAAAGCTAAAGACAGCTATACCGGTGAAGTTATTTTCCCTAACAGTCATAACTTTACTAAAATAAAAGCATACAAAGCAGATAGAAATGGTAAACAGGTTAAAAAAAAGTCTCAATGCCTAAAATAAAAGAAATTTACACTTATGCTTGAATATCTAAAACTGAATGCCTGAAAAAGCAAAGCATAACTCACCAACAAGATAAATTATAAATGCATTTCACTGAAGATGAAATTATTTTGATAGATGTTTTTAAGTAATTATAAAGAGCAACCATCCCTTTTTTCCATTAATTACAGGCTTGAAAGTCTCAATTGTAAAAGATATTCATTCATGGCCATACAGGGGTTCATTATCCTAGTCTAGTCTCTCTACTCTTGTGTCATCTCTGAAATTTTCCAGATAAAAGGTTTTTTAGAAGATGTATAAAAAGAGAAGCTGAAGTTTTAGTTAATGTGTTAAAAACAAGTTATTGGCAGACATACTACTTATCAGAAGAAAGGAGAAAATCTATAAGGAGAAATATGAATATATTTTGGACCAAGAATTTACCTAACTATCCAAAAGCTGCCTCAAAGTAGGGAGGACATAATGAGCAATTTAAAAATTCATACTGAAGAATACTTTCAATATTAAATTTTAAAACTCATAGTGTAACAGTTGGAAATAAGTCTAACAGAACTCAGATTTATCTTTAAAAACAAACAAAAAAACAACCATTTTAACAGGCTTCTCTAGGTTGTCATATACAAATTATTATCTCTGAACTCTACTATCATCAGTTTATAGCAAGGTGAATTTTACCTAATTTGAGCCTTTATAGCTTTTCAATAAGAATTAAATTCTGTGATTTAAAAAAAAAACAAGCATCTACCCTGGAGGAAATGTTTTCAAACTAAAATAGGAGTTGTGATTTTAAGTCCAGGAGCTCAATGCCTACCAAACACTTTCTTTACTACTATCTAATTAAGATCTAGAAAAATTTAATACTTGAAAAACAAAACTGCTTGGATTTATTCATACCTCTTTCTTCCTCATGTTTTTTGGCAGATGCAGTTTTAGGTCTTCCTCTTCCTCGTCTGATATGATCTGAATGGCTGTTACTTCGAGACCTCTTTCTGTTTTCTAAATCCTTATTTACTGTAGAATTTATCTTCTCTCGCCTAACTCTCTCTGTTCGCCTCCTCTTGGCCTCATGCTTGTTTTCTGTATGGATGAATAAAAGTGATATATTTTAGGGCTTAGCAAGAACTGTTTGCCCAAGTTCTCATTGTCTTCTTTTTCTTTCTAAATAGCACTAGAGTTTTTGCTGCCTGGCATATTTTATAAAACTACAACCATGACATCTACGTTCCTCACACCCACACAGGAAAAAAAGAAATTCAACAGAATTCAGATCCTCATTAACTCATGAGGTAGGAGGAATTTTAACAAGACCAGTTTTTTTATTTGGCACCTTTAATTTCAGCCCCTACATGTTCACACAATTTCACAGCAATCTTTCTGCCTTTTTCCTTCTCTCTGCTTCCAAGCTAAAAATGGTAAGGTATTAGAAATTCCATTCCTTTTTGCCCCCTACTCAAATTATAGACTGAAATATGTCAAATATACAGAAGCAAAACTGATCTTAGTCATAATACGTTAAGGTTACCAATAAAAAGCAAACAGAAAACATCCACAGAAAATATAAAAACACTAGGGAAGTAATAAGTAGTTTTCACTTAGCCACAGATGAGATCATTTCTGACATTCTCAGAGCATGCAGATCCCTAAATGGAATAGCAAAAGGGGAACTTTACTCAATATGGTGATTTAATTAATGCCAAGAAGCCATCCTTCTCACTCCAAACAATTCAAAATGTTGGATAAGGCAAACAACAAATTAAAAAAAAAAAAACTTGCTTTAATACATACCTGAACTCAAAAGCAACAAAGAAAATTCCCCAAATACGTAAAACCACAATGGTAAAGGGCCAAAATAGATAAAATTCATATTCCAAGAAGGTAACAAAAGATTGTAATATAAGTATGCTTAATAGGCTAGTGTAAAATTAGAAAAAAAAAAAAAACTTTTAAGTAAAATGGTAACGGTTATTTCGAAATGCTATACCCTTAGAGAATTAGTTAATTCTAATCTCAGATATATACCAGATGATGCAAGAACACTTAATTATTCCAGATTGCAGGGAAGTTATCAAAGACAACCAGGGTCTTGTTAAAGGACTAAAGGGCTAACTTGAAAAGGCTCCCCCTGGCCACTTTACGACAATTCGAGCATCAACACAAATAGTAACTGTAATAATAAACTGGAACATCAAATATACTTAACACTACGAGTACATGACATTAAACTAAAAAAACACAAGCAAAAACTACTTGGCCACCATAGGAAGATGCTAAAGAACCAACTCCCTATTTTGAAAGCTTAAATAGAATAGAAAGAATAAAGCATTTATCCTGCCTTTTCTATTCAAACTGTACCACTCACTGGGTAACCAAAGGACAGATAAAGAGACGTTTCTAATTTAAGAATTACTGTGGCTAAAAAATGAAGAATGATAAAATCAAAGTATCACCATTTTTCTTAAAGATTTTATTTATTTATTTGAGAGAGCAAGTGAGCACAAGTGGGGGAGAGGGGTAGAGGCAGAGGGAGAAGCAGGCTCCCCACTGAGCAGGGAGCCCAACGTGGAGCTCGATCCCAGGACCCCTGGATCATGACCTGAGCCAAAGGCAGACGCTTAACCGACTGAGCCACCCAGGCACCCCAAGTATCACCATTTTCAACAAGAAATGAACTAAAGGATGTAAGTGCTGAACATAAATAGCTGCTAACACTACAAAAACAGAGACAAGCAGACTTTATGTATCACCTGACAGAATACCTAACTATTAGGTAGTCTTATCAAGAAAATCAAATCCCATCAAGCTTTTGAATCCAAATTACAATTTACAGGAAAAATAAGTCACTGGAGAAATGTGTTATCCTACATTCCTACACCATGAAGACCCAAATAGCACATCCAGATGTACATGTGATAGCTTCTTCAACATACAATTTGCAAGGAAAAAAAAGAAAACAATAGATAAAAGAGAGCTAAAAAAGACATTGCCCATACGTAATGTGTGGACCTTACATAATCTGCTTTTTAAAACTTTTTTTTTTTTTAAAGATTTTATTTATTTATTCATGAGAGACAGAGAGAGAGAGGCAGAGGGAAAAGCAGGCTCCCTGCTGAGCAGGGAGCCCGATGCAGGACTCGATCCCAGGACCCTGGGATCATGACCTGAGCCGAAGGCAGTCGCTTAACCATCTGAGCCACCCAGGCACCCTTTTCAAAACTTTTTTAAAAAGTTTTTATGAGACACCTGAAAACATCAACACCAGTTGGGGATTTAATATTAAGGAATTACTGTTAATTTTAATTGTGCTTATATTTTTAAAGGTCTATCTTTTAGAAACATATAATGAAACATTTATAACAAATTATATGAGATTTGCTTAAAAATAATATGCAAGAGGGACACCTGGGTGGCTCAGTCGGTTATGCAACTGCCTTCGGCCCGGGTCATGATCCCAGAGTCCTGGGATCGAGTCCCGCATCGGATTCCTTGCTCAGCGGGGAGCCTGCTTCTCCCTCTCTCTTCCTCTGCTTGTGCTCTGTCAAATAAATAAAATCTTATAATAATAATAATAATAATAATAATAATAATATGCAAGGGAAAGAGTAAACATGGGTATAAATGGGGCCAGGTTGGCCATTTTCTTTCTGCTCTTGTGTATGCTTAGAATTTCTCAAAAAAAAAAAGTTGAAAGAAATAGTGATAGGTAAAGCTTTTTATAGTATGCCTTTTCAAGTTCAACAATGAATTTAGGTTTGTTCCTCCGGCTACCCACCCATCTCTGCAAACTTCTCAAAAAAGGGCTATCTGTACTTTCTGCCTTCAATTTCTCACCTCCCATTCACTAATCAATCCACTCCAATACAGATGCCCACTCAATGAAATGGATCAAGAAGGGCAAAAATCTCTGTTATCAAATCTAACAGCACCTCTCTCTAATCATCTTAATACCATCTCTCAAAAATTCAAAAAGATGACTACTCTTTTCCTTAAATTATTCTTCACTTGATTTTCAGGTTTCCAGGTATCCCATCTCACCAGTCATTCCTCTCTATCTCTTTTTGGTGTCTTCTCCCCCAGGTTCTTTCTCATCTTTAATATTAAAGCCCTAGGACTCTCATCTGAGCCCTCTTCTCTTACTTACACTCTGTCGAGATAATCCATAGATCCAAACATTATACTCTATGATTTATGATGGTTCCAAAATTTATACTTTCAACTCCGACCTCTTCCCAAAGTTCCAGACTGCCTACCCAGCAGCTTCACTCTAGTATCTTACAACCATTTCATATGTATCAAAAAATCACTCTTGATTTTCCCTCTTCCAAAGCTTCATTATATTAGTAAATAGTATTACCCAGTTGCAAAAGCCAAATAATTTGTAATTATCTGGGACTCAGCCTGCTGCTTCTTATATCATCACAAATGTCCACAGGTACTCCTTGCAAAATATATCCACAATTTCTTCATCACTCTATGTTGATGGGCAACATCCAAACCAAATGCATTTCCTACATAGCTGCCAAAATTATCTTTAAAAAATTCAAGGGCGCCTGGGTGGCTCAGTTGGTTAAGCGACTGCCTTCGGCTCAGGTCATGATCCTGGAGTCCCTGGATCGAGTCCCGCATTGGGCTCCCTGCTCGACAGGGAGTCTGCTTCTCCCTCTGACCCTCCCCCCTCTCATGTGCTTGCTCTCTCTCATTCTCTCTCTCTCAAATAAATAAATAAAATCTTTAAAAAATAAAAAAATAAAAATAAAAAAAATAAAAAATTCAAAAAAATTCAAACTGCATAGCTCCCCTTCTAAAATCTTTCATTAGCTTTTCATTGTATTTAAAAATAAAGTCAAACTTCCTTACCAAAGCCTACAAGTGTCTATAAGACCTGACATTTGCCTCTCTCTCCACTCTTCTCTCATACTGCAACACTCTGTTCACTATACTCCAGACAAAATTATTTTGACAACAGTCAAAATAGACCTTTAAAACAGTGTAGGATATGGGGCGCCTGGGTGGCTCAGTCGTTGAGTGTCTGCCTTCAGCTCGGGTCATGATCCCAGGGTCCTGGGATGGAGCCCCACATCGGGCTTCCTGCTCTGCAGGAAGCCTGCTTCTCCCTCTCCCACTCCCCCTGCTTGTGTTCCCTCTCTCGCTGTCTCTCTCTGTCAAAAAATAAATAAAACCTTAAAAAAAAATAAAAAATAAATAAAACAGTGTAGGATAGTCATGCAAGTTATCTACACTGATAAATCAAACCATTTATGAGTATCAATAGGCAATTAAGGATTACCAGCAATTTAAGGAAAATTAAAAGTGTAATAGAGAAGAAACAAGTTAAAACAGGAGGAACAACAACAACAAAAAAAACAGGAGGAACAAAGGTAGTTCAAGAAACATGAAAGAAATAGGGGCGCCTGGGTGGCTCATTCGGCTAAGTGTCCTGTCCGACACTTGGTTTCAGCTTGGGTCATGATCTCAGGGTCATGGGATCCAGTCCCACATTAGGCTCCATGCTCAGTGTGGAGTCTGCTTGTCCGCCTCCCTCTGTTCCTCCCCTGCCCTGTCTCTCTCTTTCTCTCTCAAATAAATAAATCTTAAAAAAAAAAAAAAACAAGATAATCTTAAAACATTCTAATGCATACCTTCGAGACATCTGATTGTACTTTATACCATTAAGAATAAGATTCTTTTGCAAAAATAGAAAGCTCAATCCTAAAATTCATATGGACTCTCAAGCAATGTGAAATAACCAAAAGAATCTTGAAAAACATTGCCAGAAGTCTCATACTTCCTGATTCCAAAACTCACTACAAAGCTACAGTAATCAAAAAAGTGTGGTACTGCCATATGACAGATATATAGACCAAGAGAAAATAGAGAGCCCAGAAATAAATCCCTGAATATACAGTTCAATGATTTTCAAAAACAATGCCAAGATGATTCAAGGAGAAAAAGATAATATTTTCAACAAGTTGTATTGGGAAAACTGGATATCCACATACAAAAAAAATGTAACTGGACCCTTAGTTTATACCATATGCAAAAATTAATTCAAAATGGATGGAATACCTAAATATTACAGC